CCCGAAGTGTCGCCGAGCGAGCGGCGCTGCTGTGGCAATACAGAAAGGCTGCACCATCGGCGCAGCCTCGCCAGCCAACGTCGCGCGATGGCATCGCACCGAACGCGCGACTGCGCTGCGCTGCGGAACGCGCGCTCCGCGAATCGACCCGATGCCGCAGACGACCGCGCGCGCCGCGCTGCATGTGTATAGTTGGTTTATGGCGCAGGGCAGTGCATGTACCAGCGCGCTGCGCCCGCTGTCGGTAAATTAGCTTGGGTAGGTTGGCCGCGCCGACGCGATGTCGCGACGCGAAGGCGCGAATCCTCACACCAACGCAATCGAGAAACGCGGCGGCCCCGCCTGCGCGATGGCCCAACAAACGCGCCGATGCCGCGCCCACGCCGCGACAGCTGCATCGGCGCCACGCGACCGCATCAGCCCTGTACGCTGCTCGACCACTCTCGTTCACATGTGATGATCTACCGCGCCTGACGTCAACGGCTGGGTTTCGCCAGCGGCCGAATTCTGCGGCAGCGAGCCCCCATGCATTGCGACAGCCGCCGCCGCTGCAACCCAACTCGCTTTGAGGGCGGGCGGCATGGCGCTTGGCGCAGCAAGCGCGCGGTCGAACTGCGGGCCTTGCGCAGCGGCGGCCGCCGCCGCTCGCGCGCCAACGCAGCGACCGACTCCTTTGAGAAACGACGGCTCGATACTGCGCTCACGCGCGCCAGCGATTTATAGCGCAAGGGCTGCCTACATCGCCTGCACTGCTGACGCCGCGCGTTAGTGCGAAGACAGCAATGGCCCGCTGAACCGCATGGGGCGCCCCTCCGACGCGCTGGAGCGACGCGGCTAAGCACGCGGTGGGACCAAGTCTGCGGCAACGGCAGCAGTCCGAACCAATGCCGCGGCGCTACGTCGCCGCCGCGACGCGATGGCCGCGCGTCCGCGACAAAGCGCGGCGACCGCGGCGGCGGCGCCTCAAGTCGCCTTGCCACCGCCCCAGGTGCCAACAATATCTGAACCGCTTGCCCGCGAGACACCCGACGACGCGCGCGCTCAAGTGCGCGCAAGCCCTCTCTCCACAAAGGCTTGCGCATCGACTTGCAGCCGTTCGGCTGCGCCAGCGGGCGCGCCGCCGCGCGCGCCCGCTGCCGCCGCGTCGACGCTGTCGCGCCCCGAATGGATTCACGCAGCGAGTTCACGACCGCGACCACGCGCGCGATGTCGAACCTCAGGCGCTGCCTTAACTGCGAACCGCACTCGCAGCGCAACGCGCAAATCCTCCCGAGCGGGATCACGTTTGCGACGGACGCTCCACAAAGCAACTTGCCGCGCAAACATTGCGAGCGCAAGTCAGCGGCTGGGCGCTGCCGCGCAACGCGCGACGCAGAGACAAACCCGCTGCGCCACTTATTGCAGAGCGCGCTCTCGCGGCCATGGTGATTTCGCTGCGTTAGCTGGGCCCCGCCCATAGAATGACAATCGCTATAGAGCGCTTCGGCCCGCGCTGTGCGCGCCATGATTCGAGCGCGCTCGCATGGCTTGACGACTCCGAACACATGCCGCATCACGCGGGCCCCTTCGTAGCGCACGCCCGCGTTAGACCACCCCCTTGCGACGCATGCGAAGGCGTCGTGCTCGCGGCGTCAAAGCAATCGCCCGCGCAAGGGACGCTGCGCGCGCGCCTCCGAATGCCAGGCGCAGTTCTGCGAAGGTCGTGGCATTCCCGTCTGCGAAGCCAAGAGCGACGATAGCCGCAAGAACGCCCGCGACCGCCGAGGGACGCCCCATGCGCCGCGCATGTGGCCCAAGGCAGCGCACGCGGCGCCCCCAAAAAGCTTAAAGATGCTGCCACGAGACGCCCCAAATAACGACGCCGAGCCGACAAGCCGAACGCGCCTCACCAAGGGTGGAAGACGCGATTCGTCTGCGCATGGCGTCGCGCGTTGATCTGGCCGCCGTTGCTGCGCCGACTTCCGTCGACGCGCCGCGCCGCGTTGTGCTCGGCGCCCGTTGGGCGCGCATGCGCCAAGCCGTTGCTTTTTTCGCTTAGATACGCGACGCGATGCCACTCGGCCAAGCTGCCCGACGCTTACAAGGTGCGCAGCGTGAGTTTGCCACGGGCGGCAACGGGACGCAACGCTCGTGAATGCCGCGGTCGGCGCGTGGCTGCAAATTTGCCCGCGCGGGCTGCGCTGCGCAAGTGCCGCGGTACTTTCGCAATGCTTCGCGGCGAATGCACCGCGCGGCGTGCTCTCGCGCGCTTCCGCAGGACGCATCATTGCCACAGCGGCACTGGGCGCGACAATGTCGCGCGGTGTGGGTAGCGCGCTCGCTGGTCATATGTGCAACGCAAATCGAACGCCATGCCTCTGTAGTTTCGAGCAGCGCTGGCGCTTACCTGGCGTCGCGGCAGCAGTGGTCGGCGATGTTCCGGCAGAAAGAGGAACACATTACCGCATTCGCGCCGCCGTTGTCTTTGCTACATTGCAATAATTCGCGCGGTCGGCTCGCGCTGGCGGCAAAGCGCATGCTGGTGCAAGGGGGGCGCGTGCCATCTCACAAGGGAGCGGCGCTTGGCGTTTGGATTGGCATCGGGTTCTCGGCTGGTCGGGTCCTTGGTGGCTCGGCACATCGGCGTGCGATGGATGGGCTGGCTGGCGGGGCTGGCTCGGGGCGCGGGGGGGGGGGGGGTGGGGGGCGGGCAGTTGCGCGTGCTGCGGCCTGCACGGGGCGCATTGGTCGGGCCCGCAACAGAACTCGGCAATGCCCAACTGCTCGCCGCGCGCCTTGTCATTGGCAGCGGGCTGCTGGCCATATGCATTTTTCGTCTGCAGTTTGGGGTTTGGCGGTTTCCCCTTTCGCCCTTTTAATCCAGTCAACGCCGACGCTTCTTTGGAGCAGTCGTTGGGTCAGCGTGTTCGTTTGTGGCTCAGCTGTTCCACCGCGGCTGCCATCTGCTGTCATCCTAAACGCCCCGCTGCGACGGAACCTCGAAATTCTTCACGCTTCGCGTGCCCCCCGCCAGCCCATCTCAAAACAGCCACTCTAGCGAAGCATGCCGACAGTCGTGTTTTTCATGCGTGTGTCCGCCTGCCCCCGCATATCTCCCCTGTTCCTCCTTCCCCCCGCCCCCTTGCACATCCTCCTTGCGGTGGGGGCGGGAGAAGGACGAGGCGGAGGAGGAGGGAGAGAAAGCGCTCCTCGTGGTTTGAGTCGTTCGGGCTTCTCGTCCTGGTGCGAGTCGTTCGGGCCCTTCTTCCTGGTGTGAATCGTTCGGGCTCTTCGTGGTGTGAGTCGTTCGGGCTCTTCGTCCTGGTGTGAGTCGTTCGGGCTTCTCGTGGTGTGACGGATTGGGCGCTGTAGCCATTCTGCGTGCTACAGTTGGTTTGCTTTGAGGTTGCGCGTGCCATCATTGAGCTGCATTGTGAACCTTCGGGAATGTTCTCTGGTGAGAAAGTTAGGCCAGCTATGTTGCCAGCTTGCGGCAGTAACCATATTGGCCCCGCGCTTCAAGGTATCCTTCCGAGAAGCGCTCTCGGTTGCGTCTGGCGCGGCTTGGTTGCAAAGTAGGGCCACGGGTTGCCAGACCATGCCAACATGGGGGCTCTGATGGGCACGTTCGCCGATAACGAAGCCCTTGCGCTGCGCCAGTCCAAAAGCGCTAGACTTCAATTCGCACAACCGCGTGAACCGGGAAAGAAAAGAAAAAAAAAAAAAAAAAAAAAAAAAAAAAAAAAAAAAAAAAAAAAAAAAAAAAAAAAAAAAAAAAAAAAAAAAACGAGCGCTAGAGGCATGCATGTACATGACAGCGTTCGCCTGCGTACCAGCCGAGCGTATGATACGCATGGCGACGGCAACGACGACGAGTGAACTGGCGGCGGTAAAGGCGAGAGCCAAGAGAGAAGTTATTATATGGATGCACGCGGGCATGACCAAGCGGATCATCACCCAGAAGGGTGAGTTAAGCGACGCCATAACACATTGAAGTGGGATGTCGCTGAGCGGGTGGACGCCCCCGACCCTCACTGGATTGCTTTCGGCTGGGCGTGTGCGACCATGCGCCCTTGGCACGTCCGCAAAGTTATCAAGGTATCTGGGAACCCCTTTGTAACGCGCTTGTCCTACGAAGGGGCCCGACCGCTTGAGATGGGGACCCGTGGGGCCCCACCGAGCAACATAGTGTCGATGTTGGTCCTGACGGTGCCCCCCAAAGAGCTCTAAGACACGCCGCGCCCGAGACACACCAACCCTTCAAACCGCAATCACTTACTAGCACACCATGCGGTGTGATAATGATTGATGGCCATCCCTTCAAGCCATAATATCACAACCATGCGGTGTGATATTAAGGCACGTTCCGCTGTTGATCCGATCTTGCGGTCTAACGATGGCTCCAAGATGGCCGAGGCGGTGCATGCGAGCGCACCGGACACACAACATGGTCTCGATAGTGCCCCACGGCGCCCTGCGATGGCATGGCCCCAAGGAGCTGAGATGAGCTTCTGGCCAAGGCGATGCATTGAGGGTGGATGTAGCGCTCCTTAGGCTGGTCGACAAGGGACCCCATGTAAGCTGAACGGTAGCCCAACACTGTCTTAGGAGAGACGCCCAAAGGATCCTCATGAGAGCCCCGAGTGGTTTGATGGGGAGGTATAGGGCTCCGATAGAGCAGATGCGGCGGCGCGAGCTTTTACCGATATAATCCTGCTGAGATCCACCACAAGGCTTATGCGACGTGCACTTTCTCGTTCCATCGCCACGTGCACCCCCTTACTCAATGAAACATGTCTGAGGGTCATTGCTGGAGGCTGGTGGTGATACGCGAAGCGTCTATGATTGTCAACTAACTTGTTCCCATCTCTCTTAACTCGTCTCAAGCTGGCATCGTGCTGAAATGCGGCGCCCCGCTAGACCAGCAGGCGCCAACGCTGCACTGCGCGCTGAACGCAGATCTTCAAGAACATAATCATGGGCAAACGTCTGGCTCATTCGGCTCTCCAGGCCGACACGGCCTCTCGAAAGCCAGCAGCGTCACCGCCATGGGGCCCATGGCCTCGAAGGCGGCCCGAGCATCTTCGCGCTCCCTCTTGCCAATCCAGTTGCAAGTCACGTGCGTCAGCTGGCTTGCGAAATCACTGTGCTTCCGCAGCCACGCAACCAAGTAGCCGATGGGCCGCCCCTGCTGTGGCCTCACTCCTTCTTCGCAGGTCCTGTGCTTCCTGCACTTCACGTGGCCTATGCCCCTGCACTCCGCGATCAGGTCGTTCTTCTTCGCGTTGTATGCGATCCTGCCGCCAGGGACTGCGATGAAGTACAACGCTGCCTCTGGAGCTGCAACGCCGACAGCTGGAGGTGGCGGCGGCGGTGGTGGTGGAGGCGGCGGCGCTGCCACCGAAGGTGCCGATGAACCTTCACCATCTCCGTCGCCAGGAACGTCATCATCTGAATCGCTTGACCTGCCAGACCCAATGATGCCGCTGAGATCAGCGGAGTCGCTAGAAGCATTGGAAGACGAGCTGGACGGAACGTCGCCCGCTATCTCCACGTCCGAATCGACCGCCTTGTCCAGCATGGGCTCCCCATGCACGTTTAACGCGTCGCCTGCGAAGCCAAGGGCGCCGACGAAGCTGGCAAGATGACGCTGGCCACAGACGCATTCAGATATGCACGCGCCTGGGGGCGAAACGGTCGGGGAGGTTTGAAGTTAGAAACGACGGACCCAGCGCGGCCCCAAATCGAAATGTCCCAAGGCCACCAGAAAGCACCGATGATCGGTCATGCGAGGCCTATGGGGAACAGCATGCCGTGGGAGATCTGGTGGGTGCGTCTATGGCGCAGCGCCATCTGCACAACACGTCGGCGTCCCTGGCTGACCGTCGTCACGGTTCGCGTCGCTCTCGTCGACGCCGCTTGCGCCCTCGGCAGGGGGTGCGGCGGCATGTCCTTCTGGCATTGCGCCCGCGAGCTCAGGCTGGTCATCCTTGGCGTCGCCGTCGGGCTCGTCGCCACCTTCATCGCGCAACTCGCGGTCCTCGACTGCAGCCACGTCGCCCCATCCAGACTCGAAGTCCGCGCCCTTCTTGTCAACCTTGGATGGCCCCCTCTTCGGCATCGCCCACTTCGGCCTCCAGATGACCCTGCAAATCGGGGCGTTCGGCTTCTCGAGTTCCTCGCACAACGTGACGTCGACTTCCCGTGGGCAGAACGTTCGGATCGGGCTGGCCCTCTTGACTATGGCGTACACGCACACAGACCACCGAAGATCCCTGTCGAAGTTCTTGAGCGCTTGCCAAGGTGTCGCAAACTCGCGCGTTGCCTGCGAACGAACGTCGCGCGCATCCAGGGTGGGCTGCAGGCCTCTCTCGTCGACTAGGGCTTGGAAGCAAGACCGCCAGGGTGACAAACTCTGGTGGCCAATGTGGAACCCCCTGCCGTTGACGATGGGCAGCCCTTCGATGATACCGTTCGTGTTGATGTCGATGTCCTTCTCGTCATCGGCAGGCTGGCGCTGCGCGAAGACATAGACCACGGAGTGGCCGTGGGCCAAGCCCTGCGACCTCAAGCGACCGACTGGGTACACCTTCTTAACTGCACCGTTGAAGTGGTTCACGAGCGTGTCGACCTCGAGCCCTGCGCCCTTGCAGACGCACATGCCCGCGAACATGCAAGGTGGGATGTCCGCGTTGTCGTTCTCGTCCCACTCGGGGCACGGCTCGTGATCGATGATGTCGTGCATCTCGTCCCAGATCTTCGTCGGGGCAGCGAAGACGTCCTTGATGTAGGCACGATGCGCCGACAGTCCGACCCTCGCCCGGTCGCAGACGCCCACAGGCTCCCACTGGAAGAGCTTGTAGTCTCGGTTCGAGGGGGCGATGGGGAGGAACTCGTCGAGCCTCATCCTGATGGCCGGATCGTTGTCCACGCACTCTGACCTCGTGGGGCCGCCCGTCATCAAGTGCCACTTCTGAATCTCCTCGTGTTTCGCTGCCTTGTCGGAAGCACGCCACGCCCGCTCCACGCGCTCAAGCTGTCGCAGCTCCTGCATGTCGGAGAGGTGCTTGGGCTTCGACGATGCGATGCTGATGATGCCGTCGTACGTGGCCACTGCTACGTCCTGATCCACTGCGCCTGTTGAATCCACGAGCGCAGCGCGCTTGCGAGCGGACAGCTCTTTGACCTGGAGTGCCAAGGCACGCTTCGATGCCCTTCTCCTCATCTGGCGTGAGCATCCTCCAAACGGCGTCTTGTTGCCAGCGCGCGCTGCTCGGGTTGCAGCCTTCCCCATCTCCTCGAGATTGGCCTTCTCTTCGGCTGACAGCTGGCGGCGCGCCTGCGAGATCTTGCTGAAGTCGGGCGAGCCCTGCACGCCCAGCGACTGCTGTCGAACGAAGGCCCGCCAAGAGCCACCGAAACCTCGATGGCGCTTCTTTGCTGGAGGCTTCTTGGGCTCAATGGTCTTTGACGTGTTCTTCATCGCCCAGCGCCCAAGCCCGTCGCGAAGTCGACGCTGCCGCGCGCGAAACCGCTGACACGTCCGCAAGGCAGACAATCGCCTGATGTGCATCGGGTGCGTCTGAAAGCTCAACGAAGTCAGGCTCCTTCGGATTGCAGCGTGGCTGGACTCGATGCTACAAGTCTCGCGCTGCTGGAGTACGGCGGCGTGCCGGATCTCCGCGACGAGGTCTGTGCTCTTCGAGCCATCCTCCGTCCTGGTGTACTTCTCGATCAGCGTCTTGCTCCAGCCGTCCTTCAAGAGCTCGCAGTCCTGCTCGATCTCGACCACGCCCTCCCCGCCCACCAGCCTGACATCTTGAGCGGGCACCCCGAGTGCAGCACCCGAAGCTCGTGGGCCAAGCAGCCAATCACGCTCAACATCAGGAAGGTATCGGCGCGCAGCTCATGGGGCCATAACCCAAGAATGATGATGCCCCATGGCTCTGGACTCAGCATGGCCGTCGTCAAGACGCAGAGGAACTCATTCTCGAAGACGTGCTTCGCCGCGGCGATCATCGGGCGCAGCTGGCTGGAGACCTCGGGGCATAAGCCAACCGCCGCTGCGATCTTGCGGTACTCCATGTCGTCGTCGTGCTGGAGGCCAGTCGTCTCCATGTACCGCGACATGATATGCACGAGGGGCTTCAAAGCAATCCTGATCACGATGAGCTTCGCGGGGGCATCGCCTTTGCACAGCCACTTGACGCCGCGCCACCGATGGAACGAGTCCCCCTTCCTGCGCTCATCCTCAGACTTCGCCTTGCCGCCAGCGCCGCCGCCCTGGGCCTCGGGCTCCGCAGGGAGAGCCGCCACTTCGTCGAAGACGCTCCGCAAGCCAGAGTTGAAGCCGTGCTCGTCGTACTCCAACCTCATGGCGGCCTCGATGGGCATCGTACCGCGGAGCTTCGCAACCTTTCGAGGTCGCCAATGTGAGGGGGGGGGGGGGGGGGGGGAGGGGGGGGGGCTCTCAACTTAGCACCCTTCTTTTACGATAGAGCCCGCAAGGCTCCTGACAACACAAACCTGCCCAGGACAACCGAAAACTGGGCTGGCCGAAATCGCGTCACGACGCCCGCTGTTCGGGGTCGCCGTAGCCCCAACGGCCGCCTGGCAGTTGGTGGCGTGGATCGTTCTCCTTCAAAACTCATCCCCCCCCCCCCTCCTCCGGTGGGGATGTTGCCCGCCCCCGACCGCTACCCCTGAACTTGGGCGGGGGCGGGTGAGCGCCCAAACCGACAAAAGCTCCAAGACGGACCCAGGGTAACCTCCAAGGTGGCTCCAAGGTAACCTCCAAGATGGCTCAGGACGTTCCAAGATGGCTCCAAGGTAACCTCCCAGATGGGCTAAGACGCCCCAAGACCGCCCCAAGATGGAGGAGGGAAGAGGAGTAGGCGAGGAGGGAGGAGGAAGGACGGACCAGGAGGGAGGAGGAGCAGGAGGAGCAGGGGGGAGGAGGGAGCAGGAAGGAGGGAGGAGGGAGGAGAAATGAGGGAGGAGGCAGGAGGGAGGGGGGAGGAGGGAGGAGGCAAGAGGCAGGAGGCAGGAGGCAGCGGAGGAGGAGGAGGAGGAGGTGGTCGGGGGGAGGAAGAGGATGGAAGGAGGGAGGAGGGAGGAAAGTAGGAGGAGGAGGAGAAAAGGAGGAGGGAGGAGAGGAAGAGGAGAGGGAGGAGGAGGAGGAGGAGGAGGAGGAAGGAGGAAGGAGGAGGGGGGAGGGCAACCGACCACGAATGGTCCTGGTCTCCTAACTTCGACCTCCAGAAAGTATGGCATGTGTGAGGTTGCGCCCATCTCCGCGGCGGAGATGGGCGCAACCTCACACATGCCCTACTGAGCTTAGCTGTCTGGCATGGTTTCTGTCATCTGGTTTGGGCAGCCCTGAGGCCGGCCAGGGCGACGCAGATCATCATCATCATCATCATCAGCATCATCATCATCCTCATCATCATCGACGTCATCCTCCTCCTCCTCATCCTCCTCCTCCACCCCTTCCTCCTCCTCCTCCTCCTCCTCCTCCTCCCCCTCATCGCTTATCCTTCTCCTCCTCCTCGTTCCCCCCCTATCCCCCTCCTCATCATCATCATCCCCTCGTCGCCGCCCCCCAACCCCTCGCTGAGGGGGCGGGGAGGGGCAGGTAGCACCGCGGAGGGAAGTGCCGACAGGCGCATATATAGGGCGGGTGGAAATACACCCTTTGCCGCCCGCGACCTCGATGCCAGTCCACTGGGGGAAGGCGCTGCCCAGAAAGTTGTGGCAACACTCCAGGGCGCCCGTCCAGTCGACGCTGCTGTCGAAGCCCGCCCGCCGAGATGAAGGCCGCGCCTTCGGGTCCGACGCCGCGACCGCCGCCGCGAACAACGTCGTGAACTTGCTAACGCAGTCCGCGCGAGACACGCAGCAGCCGTCGCAGTAGTGCCCCACGCACGCCCTGGGCGCGGGGGCCACGGCACGCCCGACCGAAAAGACTGAGGGGGGCGAGGAGGATCAGGAGCAGGAGAGAGAGCAGGAGCAGGAGAAGGAGAATAAGGAGGAGGAGGAGGAGGAGGCAGCAGCCTTCCAGTGGCCGCTGGTTTCACCTGGATGGGCCCAGGGGGATCGAACCTTCTGAGGGTGGTTTCGGGGCCGATCGATCGGAGGTCGGGCGTGCAATGAGCTTAAATTCAAGGTGTCTCTTTGTCCAGTCGCCGCTCGCCAACGAGAGGATCACGCACCGCCGAATGCGGTTGCGCGCCGACTTCTCCGCCATGAACAAGTCCAAGACCTTGGTGCTGTAGGCGGTGTTCACGGCCGACGGCTTCTCGTCGGGATAGTGCACCAGCGAGCTCTCGACGACGTTCCTGAGGGTCGCCCTGAACGACCGCATGCCGTCATGCCATCGCAGCGCCTTCGCCGCGTTGACCATGCAGCTGGTGTCGCACGCCACATGGTGGAAGCAGCTCTTGAACCACTTGTGGACCATGTGCACCTCGCACTTCGTTCTGAGAGTGCTGCTGCTGCCGTCGCTCACGCGCTCCAAGTTGCGCTCCAGCCGCGAGATGCCGCTCGCGCCGTCGGTGCACACCAGCCGCTGACGTCGATCGAACATCTCAGGCACCTCCTTCATCGGCGGCTGGCTGGCCATGATGGCGTCGCCGAGCACCTCGCCAGTTGTCCTGCTCACCGACTGGACTGGCGTCTCCAACGGAATCCGCACCCCGTAGTACCCGACCTCAAGGAACCAAACCAGCATGGCGTAGACCCGCTCCGTGTTCAGGATCTTGGCCACGTGTGCACTCTTGCAGCTACTGCTGAGAACCACCGTGCCGACTTGACCTGGTCCAGGCGCATGCGCCACGACCTCCTGCGCGCCCGCTGGCTCGGTGGCGGCCCCTCGGGGCCGCTCAGCCGCATGTGCATCGGCGTCTCGTCGTAGCGCAAGCACTCGGTCCAGCTGATGAGCCGCCCACCGCGAGACTGCACGCCCTCGCACAACTGCTTGGCCATGAGGTGGCAGCCCCGACCCTGCAAGAGCGTGCAAGCGCACGCCAATGCTACCAGCATCGCGTCGGCACCCCCCCCCCCCCCCCACCCCCCCCCCCCCCCCCCCCCCCACCCCCCCACCCCCCACCCCCAACCTTCAGCAAGGCGCACTCCTGCGAGAAGGGAAGCGTGCTGCCCTTCAGGTAAAGCCAATAGTTCAGCATGCCACGCTGCTTCGGGCACTCGACCTCGACGGCACGGTGCGTCATCTTCGAGCGCATGATCGCGGCCATCTGCCCCACGATGGTCGCAACGACGCCATGCCGATGGCCAGCATCGTCGGCATCGTCGGCATCGCGCCGAGCCCCGATGCCGTCGGGCATGGGCTCGGCGGCGTCGAACGGGACGATCTGCGCGTCCTCCTCGGGCGCGGGCTCGACGGCGTCGCCGTCGTCGGTCCAGTCCCCGAACAACGCCGCCGCCTCCTCGTCCACGTCCGCTGCCGCGGCGGCTGCCGCCGCGATGGCCACCGCGGGGAGCGCCGCAGGCCCTGCTCCACCTGCAGGCAGCACCTCCGCGCCCTTCAGCTTCTTGCGAAGCGGCGCCAGCGGCAGCCAGGTTGCCTGCGGGTCAGAGGGGTCGGGCGATCGATAGATCGATCGATTGACCGACCCCTCTTACCCGTTCCAGCGGAGGCAGGGGAGGGGAGGGGTAAACACAAGGTTGGGGCGAGAGGTAGGGAGAGGTGAGGGCCTGAGTACTGAGAGGATGGAGGAAAAGGGGAAGAGGGGAGGAGGTCCCCTTCCCCCCCGACGACATCGGCCCCGAGCCTTGCGGCGGGCGCCCGTCGCCGCAGCGGGCGCCTTCAGCTCCTCGACGTCCAGCCCGTGGCCGTAGACGTCGCGCTGAGGGGGCGGCGGCCCGCCCTCGTCGCCGCCGTCGGCGGGGGCCAGCGGCGCCGCCTCGAAACGGCAGGATGAGGAGAGGAGAAAAAGATGGGAAGGAAGAGTAGGACGAAGCCTCGAGGCCGTCGTCGGCCACGGCCGCAGCGTCCGCGGCCAGCGCTGCCCAGCCGCCGCCAGCTAGCGCCTCGGCCGCTTGGGCCGCCGCGTCGGCCCAGGACGCCGCTGCCGCGTCGCTGGCGGCGGCGGCGGCGGCATCCGCATCGGCGGCCGCGGCCGCCCAGCCGCCCCCGCCCTCCATGGGGACGAGGGGGCCTGAAGCCAAAATGGCCCCCAACCAAACCAACGCCATCACTGCTTCCAGTTTTCTGAGCCGCCCGCTTTCTAGCGTTCCATTTTTTCGAGCCACGCCCGCGAACCCAAAAAAACAAAATTCCGGGCCGCATCCAAGGATCGCAACATCTCGAGCAGCATCCTACAGCGCCGTGCCTCCGAAACCAACCAAGGAACATACGCCTACATAACTGCGTGTTTGGAACGGCTTACATACGACCGCATGCGACTACATATGACACTACATGACTACATATGCCACCATACGACCAAATAGCTTACGACTACATGTGAATACATACTACCCCTGTTCAATTACCCCCAAACGCGTTTCGATGTAAGCTCCCGTCTGCAACAATGTGGGGTGACAATTGAGGGGGTTGCCGACGACGACGACTAAGCCGAGGAGGAAGGCTAGGATCTTACGTAATAAATGGCATACCCCATCATACATTGCACCGGCTACCTGGGATAGGGCTCCAGCCCCTCTGAAGCTACTTTTTGCTCTTCGAGGGGTACTTTGGGAGCTACTTTGGGCGGTACTTTGTATGTTCGGGGGGTACTTCTATTCCTATTCCGAAACCTACTTTGGGAGGTACTTTGGCCTTTCTGGGGCCCCTATGGCTGTAGCAGGACATGCCTTTCATAACCTCGCTGGTCCCGCCTGGGTGAAGGGATGATAGCTAATAAGGGTCATGTCGTCAACGGCGGAGTTGAAAGGTACATTATTCCCCGAGATGCCAGTCTTGGCCGGACCTTCGGTGGCAGGGCCAGGGACAATGAAATGAGGTTGCAAAGCTGGCCTGGCGGGCGTTTCCTGCGAAAGCTGGGGCATATCGAACTGATGAAATCTGGGCATGTTATCCAAAGCTTTCTCGATAAACTGGAAAGATTCCATGCCCATGGTCTTTGTCATCTCTCTTGCCCTTTCTTCCAAGGCCGCCTCTCGGTCAGCTGCCTGCGATCGAGACAGCATCTGTTGGTCCTTCTCTCTCAAGGATTCGGCGATGGCAGCTTTGAGCTCCATCACCTCTTTCTCTCATGCGGCTGCGCGACCCACCGCCTCTTCTCTTGCACGAATGTTGGCGGCTGACTTTTCTGAGCTCAATCGAAGCTGTTCCTCGGCTTGCTCCTTCAATCTTTGCATGTTGCACTTGTCAGCGAAAATGTCATCAAGGAGCTTTTGCTGTTGGGCCAGAAGGTTGGGGTTAGCGCTATCTCGCTTCCATTTCTCATCCCACGCTGCCGGTTCTACTGGCGAGCTCTTCTGCGGGGCGCACTCGACGCAACGCTTCGTGCTCATGCCAAAGTGGTCATTGCAACTGGGTGATCCACAAGTGGCGCATAAGCCAGCCTTCGGTTTAGAATATACTGAACAGCTTTCTGTAGGGTCCCTTCGCACGGGCTGAGGTTGCTGGGCAGCTCTCACCCGCGGCAATGGCGGCGCCCCGCCTGCTGGAGGCGCCGAGCTAGGCCGGGCCTGCGACGACGTAGCACCAGACGGCTGGGCCACCGGTGAGGGTCGTCTGCTCGTCCCTGCCGGCTTGGCCGGCGGGCGCGCTCCGTCGCCTGATTGCATTTTGCGAAGCGATGCCCTAGCGTGCTCATGCTTCTTGAGCTCGCCTTGCTACTGTTTGTTCTGGTCAGCCATTCTCGCAGCAGCGTGCTCAGCAGCCTGAGCGCGTAGCTCGGCCTGCCTTTTGGCCTCGTGAGCACGCGCCTGAGCTCGGCCCCAGGCGTCTGACATAAGCTTCGAGTGGCTCTCGATTTGCTCCCTTGTCTGCAGACCTTTCGCTCGGAAAGCCTCCGCCGCTTTGGCCTCTACGTTGGCCGCTTCCAGCCTAGCAGTGCCGAGTTGGTATTGGAGCTCCTCTCTTTCCTGCTCTGCTTTGGCCTTCGCGCCCCCCCCCCCTTCTAGCCTCGCCGCCGCGACAGCGGCGTCGGCGGACTTGGCGCCCGCAGATTGGCTGCGTTCCGCCAGGGCAGTACGTCGCTCAGAAGAAGATATCAGTGTCTCAGCGCCGCGTTGCAAGCGCGCCAGGTCCTGGTCCTTTTGCGCGATAACGGCAGCTCGCTGCGAAATGTGCCGCTTGGCCTCGCTCGCTACCCCAACAGATTTGCCCTCGGCTTCTTCCGCGCGCTGCTGGGCAGCCGCGGCCTGGGAAGCCATCTGGGCTAGCAATTCTTGTTCTCTCCGACTGGCAGCTTGGGCCATGGCGAGCCTATCGGCCTCGAACTTCTTCTGGGCGTCTGCAACAACTGCATTCATCTGTTCACGATCCAGCCGGGCCTGCGCGGCCCCCTGGGCCACTACGGCCATGGCCTCTTGCTGCCTTTGAGCCTCTTGGGCCCTGGCTTGTTCTTGCATGGCCTGGATCAACTGGTACTGGCAGTCATGTGCCCCCATGTGGACGCAGTCCTCACACAACCACTGGCCGCCACACATGGGGCGCACGCTGGAACAATCCCCACGCACTGGGCGCCTGCAAGGCTCCCCCGTGTTGCGGGCTTTCCCCGGGCATCTGCAGTCCGCCTGGGGCGGGCAGCCAGGGCCCTGATCCCAGCACGCCTCGCGCATGGAAATGGCACCGGTGCTCCTCGAAGTTGATCGGGCGCCAGATCGTGGGATCCTGGGCCGCCCCCGGCTCGAAGCCGATGATCGAGGGCGCACGTGCACGCTCTCCGGTGGCTTGGCCACCTCGCGGAGCGCCTCATCCCGCTCATCCTGCGCAATCAAGTCCGGGAGCGTGACAAGGGGTTCAGACGGGTCGTCATCCGCAGCTACGGCGGGGACCGACGGCTGCCAATCGCCTGGGGCGACGGCAGACCGATGGAATCCCTCCTGAAGCGGGGAAGCATTCAAATCGTAATCTTCGTCCCTGTGCTTCGCAGGCTGAGGAGCTGGCGTTCGGCCCGTGGACTCCCGGCCATGCTTGGCACGATGATGGGAACTCGATGCAACCTCTGCCGCCTGGGGCGAAGTCTCAGCGAGTGGGAGAACGGGGGTCGGTATTGGCGCCCCCCATGGCTCGGGCACTGCCGGGACCTCGCGGACTAGGTCGCTGGTCGTGGGGTCTTGATCTGGCTCCGCAAACGCCTCCCCAAGAGCATCCAAATGATCGTGATCAACGGTCGCCTGTCCTGGGGATGGCCCTCCGCCTTGGGCGGGGCAGTCGGTAGCGTTCAACAACTGCAAAACTCGGCCTGGGGACATCTCATATGCGGCATACTCTATGTTATCCTCCATGGAAATGACCTCGTCTCCGCCGTCAAGCTGTTCGTCGCTGTCTTGACCGGGCTGCCCGTTCACGGCGATGGGAATGGCGTGAGTCTCGGGCGGTCGATCCCAACCGTCTGGAACGGCGGGGGCCACGCAGCTCGGCTCGCCCACGACTTGCGGCCGACTGGCTGGGTCAGCGGCCGGCGAAATAGGGCGCGCGGCTGCCGGGCTGAAATGCATTGTTCTGGGGGCTCAGCAATCCAAGATGAGAAGGCTCCTCGCCTGGCGTTCCCGGCTGGGCCGTTCCGCCTCATCGGGGTCGGGGTCTGATCACGCTGGTTGATCTGAGCACGAGTGGGAGAATCGTCGGCAGACAAATCTATGACTCCTCCGATAACTCCTCCCCGAGGAACCCGAGTGAGGTTAGAGGAGAGAAGAGAGCGGTCCTCCCCGGGGCCGCGGCCCTGATGATCTTGCCCGCCATGAAGTTCATGATGTAGACTCGCGGGCAATTCGGCTGTCTCAACACTGCTCAATCCCTTAGCGACTTGGGCGCGGGTTTCGGCTGATAACCAGTCTTTCCTCAGAGAACCGGGGTAAGATGCCAAAGGAACTATGGCCCCTTGATCTCCAACGCTGATATTGTGGGCTACATGCTCAGCGAGAGGGGTTGGGATGAGCCATGGCTAAGACAATGGACAATCCGTATAGCAAATGGTAAGAAGCACGGGAAGGGAGGAGGCCGGCCGGCCGGCGCCCGTGCGCGGGCGCGCGGCAGCGCGCTCCATTTCGGGCTCGATACCAAACGGCTGTTAATGTATCAATGTCTTGCAAGGCAGGCGGCAGGAGAGGCAACAAGAAGATGAGGCGGACAGGCGCAGATTTACTCTTCTACTACTACTACTACCTCAATTACTACGGCAACTATTACTACTACTACTACTACTACTACTACTACTACCACCACCACCACCACCACCACCACCACCACCACCACCACCACCACCACTACTACTACTACTACTACTACTTCTACTACTAATACACCTACTACGACTACTACTACTACTACTACTACTACTACATCTACGACTACTACTACTACTACTATTTCTACTACTACTACTACGGCTGCTGCTGCTGCTGCTGCTGCCTACTACTACTACTACTACTACTACTACTACAACTACTACAACTACTACTACTACTACTACTACTACTACTACGACTACTACTACTACTACTACTACTACTACTACTACTACTACTACTACTACTACTACTACTACTACGACTACTACTACTACTACGCTACTACTACTACTACTACTACTACTACTACTACTACTACTACTACTACTACTACTACTACTACTGGCGGTCTCGTGCACCACATCACCACGGCTCAACCACCTTGGGAAGAGCGTCCTTGTGGCTGCCTCATTGCCAGTATGTAGCGGGCACCTCTTCTGGGTGAAAGGGCGGGTCTGACGTGCGTGCAGCGGCAGGCGCTTGTCCGAGGCAGCTGGCCCCTACGGCCCAAAGTGAAGCGTCAGCGGCGGCGCAGCAGCACACGGGGCGACCTCAGTACCGCCATCGAGGCCAACTAGCGCAGGAAGGCGCGAGAGGAGGCCAGGATGGCAAGCCAAAATGGCAAGGCGCCCAGCGGCGTCGCGGCAGCGCACGGGGCGACCCCAGCACCGCCAGCGAGGCTCACGAGCGCAAGTGCGCGTGAGAGGAGGCCAAGA